AAAAAAAAAAAAAAAAAAGAAAGTGACAACCAGCCCCTTTCCCTTCCCAAGGTAGATGATGTTATCTTGGAGAGTGAGCTCCTGGGAGAAAGGGATCCAACCCCCAGGGTCCTCAGGATTATATTCCTGCGGTCATTCTAGTTGTTATTATTATTGCTAAGTCCTCAGGTGGTCTTGCCTGAACCTGAGACTCTCTTGATAATACACAAAGTAGGAAGGAACCTTTCTCCTGCCCAGATGATCCAGGACAACAGCAGGGGATGGGTGTGGAGGGGACCTTCCTGTTAGGAAAATCAGCAGCTCTGACTCACAGATGCCCTTGGAACAGGTCTGGAAGGTGCCAGTCTCGCCTTGCTTCCCAGCTGGAAGCCATACTTAATTTAACTCACCTGGAAAGCTATATTTAACTTCTGCCGATTTTGCTGGATCCAAGGCCTCTGTGACCTACTGAGGGCTGTGTGCTTGTGCACACATGTGAGTGTACCCGTTGAGGAGTGGGCTGAGGACAAGCAGCAGGACCAGCAGGAGGATCCCTGTTGAATAGGCTGGGCACCAGAAGGCTGGCCACCTTGAGATGGTGTGTGATGTTCGGTGATTTTTTTTTGGAGGGGAGGGTGTCAGGGTCTCACTCTGTCTCCCAGGCTCGACCTCCTATGCTCAGGAGATCCTCCTGCCTCAGCCTTCTGAGTAGCTGGGACTACAGGTGTGCGCCATCACACCCAGCTAACTTAAAAAAATTTTTTTGTAGCGACCATATCTTGCTGTTGCCCAGGCTGGTTTCAAACTCCTGGGCTCAAGCGATCCTCCTGCCTCAGCCTTCTAAAGTATTGGAATTACAGGGGTGAGCTGGCCTACCTCGGGTCACTTGTTTGAATCCTCAGTGCTGTGGTGCTCTGGCTTCTATTGTTCTCTGACTGCCCCACCCGAGACTGAAGAAGGGGAGAAGCTACCTGAAAACCTCAGCCTTAGACCAGAGTGTTTTTCTATCAGAGCCTGACGGTCGGTGCGTGGGTCAGAGGTGGCAGAAGACACCACTGCCTTAGTTTCTTTTTTTATTTTTTTTGTCAGAGTCTCACTCTGCCACCCAGCCTAGAGTGCAGTGGCATGCTCATGGCCATCGCAGCCTCAAACTGCTGAACTCAGATAATACTTCCACCTCAGCCTTCCAAGTAGCCGAAACTATAGGCATACACAGCCATGCCTGGTTAATTATTTTGATTTATTAAAGAGACGAGTTCTTGCCAAGTTGGCCAGGCTGGTCTTCAACCTCTGGGTTCAGGCAGTCCTCTCGCCTCTGCCTCCCAAAGTGCTAGGATGCCAGCTGTGAGCCACTATGCCTGGCATGCCTTGGTTTCTTGCTTGCGAGTATCCGCATGTGTGTGCACATGCACACACGTGCACCCCCTCCAGTACCTGAACAGTAAGAGCAGACTACTTCATTCCTTGATGCCGTCTCTGTTACTTGCAGGACTTCTTGTCTGCCGTGGAGGATGTGGAGAACCAGTTTGCTAGCTCGGCGCCTATGAACGCCGGGTGCTTGCGACCCTCCTCCTCCAGGCTGCAGGCTCAGTCTTCCAGGCCGCCCCCGGTATGGCCTATGGCTCCGTCAGAGACTCTGGGCCTGCCAGCTGTGGGCCTCTGCCTCCCAGCCTCCAGCATTCCTGGGGCCACCGGCCATCCATCTTGCATGGGAACCATACCTCAAAGGCCTGGCTGTGCCTCCAGCAGCTGGACTGGCACCCAGAGAAGAGGGATGCCATCAGAAGCACCCCGAGAGCTGGCAGGACCCCTGTCCTTAGCCCCACACCCGCTCCTCACCTCCGAGAGCCAGCAGTGGTGGACTGGTGGCTTTGAGGGGCCTGAACAGGACGAATTTGATAAGATCCTGGCAAGCATGGAGCTAGACAGGCCGGGAGTGGAGCTGGAGGACCCCGCGTTGGCCAAAAAGGCCCGTGTGGTCGATCATAGTGTGGCAGGCATCACGTCATCCTGGGAGGAGCCTCTGGATTCCACCATCCACGGTGGGACACCACCATCCCGCTTAAGACCAGGTGCCGCAAGCCACTTTCCTGTCCCACCTGCCTCCGCAGCTCCCGTTCGGCAAGTCTGTCCACAAGGGCCCCCTGTCCAAACACCGCAGCCTCCCCTCGCCACTGGAGGACCCGTCCAGGGCAGCCCTCAGCATGGTGTCCCCAGTCGGCCATTTCAGTCTCCAGATGCCTGGTTCAGTGCTCTCAGACCTCGAACTCCTGCCTCAGACTGCTCCGCACCCTCGAGGACTGGTCCTGGGTTATTTCCTCAGGGGCTTACACAGCCCCGAACACCAGTGTCTTCTGTTGAGTCTCCTCTCAGCACCCCAAAAGGTCCCCGTTCCTCCCTGGTTCCCCAGGGCGCTCTGCAGACGCCCATGGTCACCAACCACCTGGTGCAGCTGGTCACCGCAGCCCATCGGACACCCCAGCGGCCCACCCACTCCTGCCCCCAGGCCAAAGCGCGCCGCTTTCCGGGCCCAGCAGGGATCCTGCCTCACCAGGTGAGTGGGGGAAAGGGAGAGAGGCAGGTTCCAGCACTGTCCAGCCTGGAATGTCTTCCCCGGAGAGAGAGAGCACTGAGAGGGAGGGTTTCCAAAGCTGTGGAAGAAGTGGGAGGGCAGGATCGAAGGCCACTGTGAGAGGTGCCCTTGGCGCTAAGGACTCCATTTTCTTTCTTTTTTTTATTTTTTTGGTTTTTTTTGAGTTGGAGTCTCACTGTCGCTCATACTGGAGTGCAGTGGCCGCTCCCGGCCACCGCAGCCTCGACCTGCTGGGCTCCGGCGATCCTTCCACCTCAGCCTTCCGAGTAGCCTGAATTACAGGTGTGCGCTACCACACCCGGCTAATTTTTAATTTATTGTAGAGATGAGGTCTCGCTGCCCAGGCGGGTCTTGAACCCACGGGCTCAGGCAATCCACTCACCTCAGCATATTTATTTTCTAGAGGTTGGTTCTCATTGTGTTGACCAGCCTGGTCTAGAACTACTGGCTTCAAGTGATGCTCCTGCCTCAGCCTCCCAAAGCACTATGGACTCAAGCAATTCTCCCACCTCAGCCTCTGGGCAGCTGGGACTACAGGCACATGGTACCACACCAGGCTAGGACTTCTCAATTTTCATACATTGGTTGAGCACCCGCTGTTTGCTAGTACCGGGGCAGGAAGATTGAGGCACTTGTATTTGCTAAGGGCTTGTTACGCATCAGTCGCTTGGCGCTGAGAATATGGAAATTAGAAGGGAAATTGTTCCTGTCCTCAGGAACTCACAGTGAGGCAGGAACAGGTGTGGAAAAACAGTTGTACCAAAGTGCACAGTGTAAGTGGGTCACTCCTGGGTGCTGGGGAGACCCTGGCTCTTGCCTTGGGCTTGTTGAGTGGGCTTTGGTGGGGGCTGAGTCAGATGCCCCGCAGTGGAAAGCCCCGCAGTGGGGGATGCCCCACAGTGGAAAGCCGGGGAAGAACGTGTGCAGAGGTGGAAGAGCTGGGGTGCTCGAACCCACGGTCCGTTGTGGCGGTTGTTGGGGCCAGCATGGGGACTGTGGGGCTGGAAGGGGCTAGAGCCCTACCGAGAGTGGGTGAGGCTGTGGTGGAGGGGCAGGTCCAGGAATCCAGTCCTGGATGGACCCCAGTCACCAGCTCTGCAGTCTGCTCTGCTTATGACAGGAGCCCTCTTTCTCTCGCCTTGAGGGCGTTTGAGACAGTTTCTGCCTGCGACTTATCTTCTCCGGGCACTTTAGGGGACTTGGGAACCTTCCTTATTCCTCCTGGACTGGATCTCCTGGAGGTAACAGTTGGCTCCCTGAGGAGGGGCCTTTGCCGTCTCTGGTGGGTCACTGCCCACTCCGGCAGCCCTGGACTTTGCCCCTGGGCCCACTTTAGTGCCTCGAGTTCCCAAAACGATCCCCGAAGTGTCTTTGGTGAGCCAGCAACAAGGCTCTGGAGACTTTGTTAGGAGAGATGTAATTCATGTTAATTTCCCTGATAGTTTCCTGATCTCATTATGTAACCGACAAGAAGCTGTGCCTGTAAATAACAGCTGCTGAGCCACTCTGCTCTCTTCCTCTCCCTCTTCCCTCTTAGCACGATGGGAAGAATCTGGAGGAGATCATGGTTTCAGCGCCACCGACTCCAACTCACGGTGCTCTGGCGAAGTTCCAGACAGAGGTAACCTGCCCCGTGCCCAGTGGACTTCCTGGGCATCCTGAGAGTGAGGGACGTCCCTGCAGGTATCACGAGTCGGGACTCAGTCACTGCTGAGCTGTGCCTTCTGTCCCACACCAAAGGGCCTTTGGGGAAGGCGGCAGGGGCAGCAGCTGTCCTGGCATAAGAGAAGCTGTCCTGATGCCAGTGGCCTTTGCCTTGTGCCGTGGTCCAGCCTTCTTTCCCACCTGAGAAACAGAGGCCCCCAGCTCCCTCTCGCCCAGCGGGAGAGTGTGGTTGGTCCGTGCAGTGGTGTTTCTTGAGCCCTTCCTCTTGGGTTTCGGGAAGCACCCGCCTTCCTCTTGCCTCCACTGGCTCCCTGTAGGTGCTGAGACTGGCCTCAGCCTCCCTCTTTCCCAGGGTCGGCCTGCTCTGTCCTCAAGCCCACTTGGTCTCACTGTGTTTCCCAGGCTGGTCTCAAACTCCTGAGGGCTCAAGTAATCCTCCTGCCTCTGCCTCCGAAAGTGCTGGGATTATAGACATGAGCCACTGCCCCCAGCCTGGACTCACTTTTGCTTTTAATTCTCTCCAGGGCTTTTTTTTTTTTTTTTTTTGG